CATTTACATATACACTATTTAAATTATAAATATCTACAGCTGTTTAAATATTGGTAGGTAACACACAATTAATACAAAATAATACCTTTATTAATATTTTTGGAGAACAAATTCCTACACACAGATTGATCAACTTCACTTGAATCTATAATTTAAAAACATTTTAAATGTGTAAAGTATAATATTTGTATTATAGTTACTTACAACAAGAGTTTACATCATCATTGTCCCAAGTTGGATCTTCATCGGTGTCGTCTACATCATCAAACTCGTCGAAATCAGAATCCAACATATGACTAATAATGTGTTCATCCATTTTGTTAAAATATGTTCACTTCTTGAATAAATATTGTACATACAGTGAAACGAGTCAACAGCAAAAAATTAATAAATCGTCATTTTATAAATTGTAATATCATTTATCATGATAACAATAATGGAGGGAATTTTATCAATCACACTATGAGGTCTTGTACATTTGTACCGATGTTCACTATTCCTACCGTTCACCTTTGTGCAACTCGTTAGCGCATTAAAAGTAATAATTAAGTCAATTAAAAGCATATTAAAGGTTATTTTGGTAGGATAAACGAAAAAAATCATAAAAAATAAACAAAAGACGTTAATTCCTTGCTAAAACTACCAAATAAAACTAGAAATACGGTAGAATCTAATCACGTTTAAATTACCGTGATATATGAGATCCAACTCGAGATCTCAATTACTAAAATGTAATATACGTGAGATCCCCAAATGGATCTCAAAAAAATGTTTGGGCATTTAGATGAGATCCAAATATGGGTCTCATGGCGATGTGATCAAAGTTGACAAAAAATGGGTTGGCAGTCAACCTGTTAATACGTTTAAAATTTCCACTTTGCGCTCACATCGTCCGCGATTCGATGCAGTCGGATCGCCTACCTGGGAGGTTCAAACACGTTTAACTGGATTTTCAGTGGTGATCGCTTGACAAATCGAGCGCTCGATTCGACTTAAACTTTTTTGCGTACTAAAACAGCACAACGCCTTCGACGTCAGGAGGTATGACAATCCGCCGCAGGCGGATTGCCCTGTCAGGAATCGATATTCACTGGACGATGACTGATAACTAGACACTTGATCAACCTTTCGGAGTGTATATTTATTTATTTTCCATGCACAAAAGCACAGGGCAAGCTACGGGACAAGGTGTATTAAACCTGTGAATTTAATGAAATGACCGACCACTAAACGTTCGAATTGGACTTTTATATACTTTTATTATATTATAAGATTATTAAGATTATTATTTACGCATTTAAAACGACACCGCCAAAGTGTAAATTCACCAAATCAGAGGTACCAACGTCTCAAACATCGTTATCACAGGTTTTGCCTACTAGACTTTTTTAACTGCGGTATTCTAAGTCCTGTCTCCGACCTAGGAAATTCACTTCAAACGATTTTCAGCTACCTAGCGTATTCACATACAGCGAGTTTTACCGAACTAGGGTATTCACATACAGCGAGTTTTACCGACCTAGGCATAGGCGCAAATAGGGGGGGGCTTAGGGGGTATTAGCACCCCTGATTTTAAAATTAGCACCCTCAAATAATGTTCGTGTTTATGTGTCAGAGTTTAATGAAATATAAATGAAAACTATGTTACTTGACAATTGATATTATTTTTTAGTTTAAATCTATTAATAGAACATAATTATTTTTATTTTTTACTAAACCCGGTTTTCGCGGTCATAATAATCATTATCACGTTCAGCAAACGACTCGATGTTATGACAATTATATTGCGAAGCATTTACCAATATAAACATTCCAGTACACATATCTAATACGGGGAAACCCAATTACGATTAACGAATCACTAGTTAATACTCAGTACTCAGTAGATGTTCACTTTTATCAGTTCAGTTATCCTCAGTGTGCATGACTGGGTGGTATATTATACTAATATTTATTACTCATATTTTACAATACAATAGAAAAAGATGTTTTCAATTTTTAATAAATTTAAAAAAACCAGTGATTCCAATACAACTTCTAGTAAGTATAAATTATAATTTTTATTTCACTTTTCATTGAGTTTTCTAACTTAAATTATTTTTAATAAACATGAAACATTTAGAACAGCTAAGTGAGCAAGATGTAAATGACAGTTTCACTGAGACAATCCAGGAAACTGTTTCATTTCCAGCTGATTTAGGAGATTTGAATACTGGACCTAAGCAGCCTATATTACAAGTCAGTATATCTATAAAAATACAATAATAGTTAATACAATATACATTATACCTTATGAGTGAATGGCTTTATTAACACCTGGTTACTATTTATTAGGAATATCCATTAACAAGATTTGGACCTCAAAACAGATCGTTTTCTACTAAATATTATTCAGAATTCAATTGGCTAGAATATAGTTTAAGTAAGGACCTAGCATTTTGTTTTTGTTGTCGACATTTTGGTTTGGGAAATAATTGTCAAGACACTTTCTCACAGAAAGGCTTTCAAAATTGGAGAAAAGTATTATATTTTATAGAAATATATAAATAGATAATATTTGTTGTAAATAAATTTATTTTAGTAACAATTTAAATTATTAGATAAATGAAAAATTGAAATTACACTCTACGCGAAAATATCATATTACAAGCAAATCAAAATTTGAAAGTTATAAAAATTCAAAATCACAAGGATCAGTTGTAAGTCAGTTATCGGAAGGTTATAAAAAACAAATTAAAGAAAATCGTTATTACTTTTCACAATTAATTGAAATTTTACTGTATTTGAGTGGGCAAGGTATGGCTTTTAGAGGTCACTCTGAAGAAGAAAATTCCTTGAATCAAGGTATATACTAATTGTTATTAAAATATTAAAAAATAAAACTATTATTAATATTAAAATATTTAAGGTAACTTTAAAGAAGCGTGCAAATTACTTGCAAAATTTGATCAACAATTTTCAAATAAATATGATTGTAGTACAAACTATTCTAGTTGGCTTATACAAAATCAACTGTTAATTATCTGTGCTCAAAATGTCAGAGATAATATTATTTTGGATGTTCAAACAAATTGCTTTTTTGCATTAATGTGTGATGAAGCTAGGTAATTTTGAATCACTAGTATCTATGTAAAAAAATCTATAATGATTATTTATTTATAATTTAATAGCAATCAATTAAATCATAATAATTATAATCTATTTTTTTTATTTATTTAAGGAGTTTTAAAGGCCAACAGATGTCTATATGTGTGAGATACACTGTAGGACTAGAAATTAATGAACGGTTCTTAGGATTTTTGGAAGTCTCTAGAGGGCATGATGCTGATTTTCTGGCTACTGAAATTTTAAAATTTTTACAAAAATCTGAATTAAGTAACTTAAATATAATTGCTCAATCACATGATGGAGCGGCTGTTATGTCAGGTCATTTAGGAGGCGTACAAGCAAAAATTAAAGAAAAATACTCCACAGCAATTTTTACTTATTGTATGGCACACCGATTGAACTTGGTTGTGGTTGACATGTACAAATATATAACGGTATTCGTTTCTTATAATTTAGAAAAATAAATTTAATTTTAATTGTTTATTATAATTTTATTATTTAGAGTGCAAGAAGTTTATTTAATGTGTTGGAATCAATACACATATATTTTTCATTTCCTTCAAAAAATATTAAGCTGCAAGACATTCAAAATGAGTTGGGACTAAAAAATAGATCTATGACCCATTTATCTGACACACGTTGGGTTTGTAGGTATAAAAATTGTGATGTGATTTTAAATAATTTTAAAGCAATTCTACAAGTATTAAATGAAGAAATTGAAATCAATTCTGATAGGAATGTCAGTCAAGCTATTGGTAAAGTATAAAATATTAAAATGTATTAATTATTTATTAAAGATTAAGTAACAAATAATAATTGTTGGTATATAAATACTGAACAATGAATAATTTTTATAACATATTATTGTTTATTTTAGGTATTTATTCAACTATAACTAAAGGATTGTTTGTCGTGCACTTGTTTATTTTTCATGATGTATTAGTTATAATTAATGTACTGAGCAATAAATTACAACAAAAATCTGCAACTCTAGAAAAAGCTGCTGGGATTATTAAAGGTGTAATTGAAACTTTTGAAAAAAAAAGAAATGATGATTCATTTTTGGTATTATGGAGAAAAATAAAAGAGTTTGCTGATAATCATGAAATTTCATTAGAAGTACCTTTGAAAAGTATGTATTTGATGAAATGTTTAAGATTTGTAATAATTGTGTGTAATGATTGTGCACATTTATACCATTGCTTTTATATTTTTAGATTCTAAAAGAATTAGAAAAGAACCACACAGCTTAAAAGGATTTTTTCTAACTACATCAACATCTGCTGATAATTTAAGTCATGATGATTCTATTGAAAATTGTTGGAAAAATCAAGTATATTTTGTTATACTTGATACTGTAATAATTAATTTAAAGAAACGTTTTTCTGATGAAAGTTTGTTATTGGCTTCTGCTATTGATAATTTCTTTTTGATGAACTTTGATGAAAGTCAACCATTTATTAACCATTATAAAGTAAAAATAAATTCCTACTTAACGATATTGTACGTTTATAACATTACGCTATATATAATACAATTTCAGGGTTTATTTAATATTGAAGTTGCATCACTCAAAGCAGAAATGTTGGTTGCAAAAAATTGTTTAAAACAAATACACAAAAATTTTGATTTAATACACTTAAATAATATAATAGAAAAAAATGTGTATCCAAATGTATACAAGTTATTACAAGTATTTATTAACCTTTTTTTGTTACTTACATTATAACTAATATTAATTATAAAATAGTAATAAAGACTGTATCAATTTTAGGTGGCACTTACATTACCAATTAGTTCTGCCACATGTGAACGATCCTTTTCAGCTTTACGTAAGATAAAGACATGGCTTAGAGTATCAATGGGGCAGGACAGACTAACTGATTTGTCAATATTATACATTGAAAAAGATTTGACAAAATTAATTAATGTCAATAAAGTTATAGATGCATTTGCAGAAAAAGATAGGCGTATAAATCTTGTATAAACTTAAACGTTATATTTGTAAATCTAAATTGTAATACTTATTGTATTCATTTTTTATAAAAAGTAATTAACTAAGTATTAAATGTTGAATGGCTATAAAATATTTTTGCTTAAAAAAACCATTAATGCCTCATAGTTTTAATTTAATTTAAATGCCCAGAAAATGCAGAGCTTAAGCACCCTCAGTTTTTTTATTGAAATTGCGCCTATGGACCTAGGGTATTATTCACATACAGCGAGTTTTACCGACCTAAGGTATTCACATATAGCGAGTTTCACCGACCTAGGGTATTCACTTACAGCGAGTTTCACCGGTGCTAGTTTTATTGAATAAAGCTAATAAATTGTTCATTCGAAAAATTGTTTTTTCCGTACTATCGAATTTAATACAAAATTTAATACAAGGTTGTCCATAAGTTTATGTTATTGTTTATTAAAACAATATTATGAGTTTCAATTTTATTTTAAATACATACCTCAGTTATTTTTTATAGGCGTATGAAATTAAAATTTTTATAAAAGTTTTCAAAATTCCGAACCAATATAAAAGAAACAAAATAAAATATCTTAGGCTGATATATCGTCTCCGTTCAGAATCGTTTTTCATCATATTCAATGGTCTATTATTGAATTAAAATTTAACACATCCATAACAGTGACTTACTCTATAACCGAGATATACTCCACCCCCTACTTTACAGCAGAGCAAGTTTCCCGGATTTTTTTTGTTTTTCCTAATTTTTTTGAAAACTATTGGAAAATGTATACTTTTGACCTCTCTTATGCACAAAGGATATTCACTTTGCCATCGGGCACCATCAACTATCCCCCGAAGTTTGAAATTGAAACATTATTTTTACAAGTTATGCTGTACATATTTTTTTTATTTTTTTTCAAACGTAATACATAATCTGTATCGACTAGACACAATAAGAATATTTGATGAGAGTTACAAAATTGACATGGAAATTTGATGAAAGGAGCCACCCATCGATGGCACTTCCTAATGCTGTACATATAGACAAAAAAAACACACAAATCATTTTATAATCAATACATTCATCACTCTTTTCAGAATCTAAAATTAACTAATATCTTTATTATAATCATTTTACTATTGTATTGATTGTTATCATTATATTATTAAACCAGTTATTTATTATTATTGTATAATAGCTTAATTTAAGAAACCTTGTTAAATACCACAATGTATAACCGTTTATTAGTTGTGTGATTAAAAAATGTTTACATACTTTTTTTCATAAGCCGGACAGCCTTTCTTTCTCTTATTGTTTCACACGCCATTCCTTCATCAAACATTAAAGAAATAGCTTTTTCCTTAGTGGGTCCAATAAGACGACGTTTTTTTGTGGTTATATGTTCGTTTTTATAATTACCAATATACGTGCAATACATGAAAACTCTATTTTTAAAAACGAATTTTATTAAAATATTGTGAAATATAACATATTGTTTAATGGCAGTGTTTCGATTATTAAGATACAATTTTCTAAAAAACGATGTAGATGATGTTGGTTAACTTTCCTAACATTGTTGATAGTATAATTAAATTGTTAATATACAAAAATGTGTAAATTAATGCCAAGAAAAAAAGATAGTATGCTATGGTAAAATGACGTATAATTATTATTTAAATTTAAAACATTACTTTGAATTTTTTGGTGGCTTTTCTTCAACTAATCCATTAAATTTTGAATCACACACAGAACAACGTGCCACTACGTGTATATAAGCAGATCCATTTGGATACACTTTTGCTCTCCGAAAAGACAAAACACATGGCAGTTGTGTGTGCACCCAAAAGTACTCAGCTAGAACAGGTGTCCATGAATTCTTTGGTAAGACATGATAGGACCTAGAACTCATCATTGGCCTAAGTTTATCGTTACATTGATATAATTTCTCTTCTGGTTGTATTTGAAGCCATTCCTCTGAAGAAAATGTGAAAACAAATTTTTTTTTAGGTAAATTTTCTTCATTACTAGAACATTCACTTTCATCACTAGTATTTTCTTCTACAAGAGAAAACGAATTTTAAATTATATACCTTAGTTATTTTACAAACCAGTTTTTGGAAGAATATTAGTTAACTTATTAGACATAATAGTTGATTTATCAACAGTTAAAATTCCCAATTTTTCTTTTATTTAATTGCGTCCCTTATGAACAAATGTATGGATAGAGCTTACAGACATGGACCCTCCAAGAAATTCAATAATATCTTTCCATACATTATTTGAAGCAGGAACTATTACTATATAAGAATAATAAATTATGAATAAGAAAATAATAATAAAACATTATGTATATTACCATTGATTATAAATACTATAGATTGCTCACTGGCCGGTTTTTCGGTGGCATACAATATTAATCCCGGTAGATGGCGATAAGAACAAACAACATTAATAAATTCGTATTTTATTGCAGCTACGGGTATTATGGCTAAGTGCGGTGCGGTGTAAACCAGTTTTTGGAACAATATTATTGATTATTAACGACGGCCGCAGTCGCAGGCCACAGCCAAATATAATAATAATAATAATAATATTATACACTGCCAAGTGCCATCGCGACGATTGAAGAAATTACAATGTTATTATTATTATTAAATACCTAATAATATTATAATATAGTTTAATTTTAGTTTTTATAATTCCAATGCCTGATGTCAATATTTCAAATATATAAAATAATTTAGATATAACCTGCAGTGGCTCCGAAGTGTTTAAAGTATATATTACGACATAGTACATCAAGCCCCCCCCCCCCATATCATCCAATCAGATCCAATCAAAGCACCTACGTAATGCAATGTTTAATAATCAATGAATATTCTAAAATTGCTTTAAATAACTTCACGTGAAATACTTGTTATTTTTAACTAGTTACCTATACAATTTCTAATAAAAATGGATCTATTTGACATTTTGGTTACATACGTGGTACGACTAACGTCTATATTCTATTCTAATCGAAATATTTGTCACTTGACAAATTTAAGTATCGATTTTTTAATATTTTTAATTTTTAATTTGCATGCCTATATTTTATTTGGTCACATATATTGTTGTTTTTACCGATATATTAACATGTCTGGTGGTGATAGATGTATGTTTTTAAATTGTAAAAACACTCGGAAAACGAGTAAAACGGTTTTCCATTCAATTCCATCAGCTAATAAAGAAATATCAAGAGAGTGGATAATTAATTCAGGTAACCAATTTTTAATTTTCATTTAACTAAAATATAGCTTAAAGTATAATATGTTGTACTTATTTATATTAAAAGTATAATATCTCTTTATAAATTTATGCATTAAAATGATTTAAGGAAACATATGCTTAGCTATTTTAAGCCCGAAAGCTTTGAAAAAAAAATATATTTGTTCGGATCATTTTCAAAGGCATATGTTTATGAATGCTAACGATCCAAAATCGCGTCTTATTCCAAAAGCTGTTCCGATTAGATATTCAGGTAGGTACTGTAACGTCCCCTCTTCACATAGGTCTTTGCGCGCTCTCGCGTCTTGCCTATAAAGTTATGTTTTGATTAACGAGGTCTCGGGGACTCGACCTCGGTGTGTAATATTAATATACTAGATCAGGGTTACCTTATTTAAGTAAAGCACAGTTGTATAAAATGTAACGTATATTTAACAGATAATTTAAGATTTATATAATAGAATGAAGGTTACCGATCCGGGTAGATTGACAAGCCGTGAGTGTGGATGGTGGATGGCTGCACGGATCGTTGAGGAGTCTTCTGGTCGTCTGTCTGCTCCTGGTGTCGCACACACACTCCTCGCACACAAAGTAGGGCACACGTTATTAAATACTGAGTGAGGAGATAACAAGCGGGCCGACTTCTTTGACCCTAGGCTTTTAGGCAGCAGTTAAAGTATATA